CAAGCAAACATTAAGGACCATAATCCCAGCCAGGAATATTTTATTTGTCATTGCTTTCTACCAGCAATGTAGGATGAATATACTTTGCCAGCCAGCAAGTAGAGAAAGAAGAAAAGTGATTTTAACTAAATTTAACAAGATTTAATCAGCTAATTCAACTTTTCTTCCTTTTAATATCACTGTAAAGCTATTAAGGGCCAGTCATCTGAACAAAGTCTAACTTAGACCGTCAAAATGAAATATAATTTATCTCCTACTCCGCAAATATTTTTTATAAATTCACCATCAATTACACAACGGTCTCCTTTCTGTACGTCCCATCCTACCTTAAGGTTTGGAATGTAGAGACAAAGGACGGAAATTCCTTGAAATCAGTCTGTGGCTATTTCATAGACAGGTTTTCTTGGACAGGAGCGAAGGGAGCGAACAGGTTTCGTCAACTTCCTGTTTCGGTCTGTTTCGTTTTCATTACTTCGGACTGTCATCCGGTTTCATTTTGGCAAAAGAGAAAACAAAACAAAAAAATAATGATCGCTGATTTTAACATCTCGCGTGATCGCTTATGTTATAGAATTACTTCTGGCAAAATGATTCTGGGGAAATTATAGCAGGAACTGGCTTCAGAGTCTTTTCACCGACACTCATAGCATTCAAGGATGAAAGCTTGAAGAAATTCGGAATGTACCTGCTTCGATTTTTACCCGGGCCTCCAAAACTGTAAGTATTGTAACTAATATTTTCAATTTAGATATTTTTGTTTTGATTTTTAACATTTTACCAAACTGCCAAAAACTTTATTTTTCTTACATTTAAATATTTTCGTTTTCGGGATTGTCACGTAGCGTGACGGAATTCTTTGTCTTTTCAGCACGATATAGCTTTTAGGGCTTTAGGGGCAAATTTTGACTGGCCTTCACCAATTTATATGCCATCTAAATAGTCTCCCATGCAGACATTTTTCTTTTTGGCGAGCGTGTTGGCTAAAATGTAAGTGTACTTGCCAGTTACCTGTAATGGCAACATCGTTGCGTGATATTGTAAGCGTAACTTGGGGTTTCAGTTGTTTAATTGCCATAACTGTTCTGTTTGTTTGTTTTCGCTTTTGAATGAAAGTATCAACTTCGTTAGATCCAAATATTTGTTAATTTTTTTTTTCTCTTGCCTACAGAATCATTACAGATCCACAAATTGCTGTGAAATTCATGGCAAAACAGCATAAGTATGAGCGTTTAAAGGACTTTAGATTGGGAAGTGTGTTTCGCCAGCTGTTTGGTCACGCAGCCGGGACGGCAAGTGGTGAGGCTCATAAGCGGATACGGAGTGCATTTGACCCGTGTTACAGCACAGAGAGTGTGGCACAGGCAGTGGATATGATGGAACAGGAATGCAAACAGTATTTAAATCAGATGGTTCAAGATAAACAGGTATTAATTTAATGTTTTCTGGTGCCTCATAACTGCTAGTAATGCTTCCTAGTAATGTGCTATATGATGAGTGTGCCAACCTCGTCCCCAGGGCTTTTCCCTTAAAAATGGGTGTGCCACTGGACGGGATCGCATTTTCACCACTGGATTGACTATGATTTGCTTGAATTAAGACTTTTTTTGAAGGGGGTCGCAGATTTTTTGGAATTTTGCGGTTAAGGAATTTGAACAGGAAGATTTGCGGTTATATAGTTGTTACCGCGTCAAAAGAAAGTAACTAAGTTTGTATTGCGAAAATTGCATGTGCCTTAATAGAATTAAGAAGAGGTTCCCACAGGCCAGCGACACATATCCATCAAGGATTGACCCAAGTACCCCCACCCCGAGCATCAACCATTTTTTTTGTACCTTTTCCAGAGACATAAAGAGATATATTGAGGTCGTGATCGCAGGCTAAGTGCGCTTCAGCTTTTATGTAGTAACCTTGATGTAAATAGATCTGTCTCGTAATGGCCCTGATAAAGCTATTCATGCAACCCAAACATCCCATCCTAATTTTTCCTTGTTTCAACAATTCTGACGGTTCCTAGTCCCGACCGCGCATTTCAAAAGGTGCCTACGGCCTGATGACCTTGATTCTCTCCTGGAGATCTGTGGCAGATAGCTGGGTATTTAAAGGAAAGTGCAGCGATTATCAACGCCTGATAGGGTGGATAAAAATAATAGCTTTCCGACATTGAAGGAAAGCAACTCACTTTCCTCACCAGATTTCCAACACTGAAAAACCAACATTCTGTGAAAACCAACACTTAGAAGGTACCCAATTTCCTGTGTTTGTTTTCCGAATCTCATGCTTTTTGGCTCTAAAATCCCGAATCCTGACCTTCAAAGGTTACAATTAAAACCATTTGGGGGGTGGGGGCATGGGGCGGGCACGGTAAAAGCAGTAAACGGAGCTTCCGGCTTGTATTATTGTTATGTGAAGCGCTATAGAGTATTTGTACTCATTTCTGAATGGGATACATTGTGGTAATACCCTTAACATGAGGTAGATAAAGGTCACCTAACCTTAACGGGCATGCGCAAGAGGCAGAGATCGGAGAGATGACCACATGTCCATCTTTCCCGCCTCTTTGCTTTCGCCATTTGCAGCTCAAAACGTAACAGTGAGCAAGAACTCTTTAATGTAAACGTGTTGCTTTACGTCGGCAGTATAGGGCAGCCTTTCTAGTCTCAGGGAACAACGTACTGCCTCAGACCCTATGTCCCAGTTCAGTAATTCAATGGGATAACCAGCAGACCAACACACGTTCCACAGCACCTGTGTATTGTAATTTGAATAAGTCACCACATGCTTAGTCTCCTACGCAGCCGTTCCTTTTTGCCACCACGTAAAGCTCCTCCCCTAAAAAGAAAAGACTACCACCCCGGTGGGGGCAGGGACACTCTACAAAGTTTAATAGTTTTATGGGGGGAGGGGGCGGGGGGCAGCGTCCCGAGGCTCAACCTCTTCACCTTTGTTTTTTGCAAGACTGCCACAAATTCAGCTTGTGGAATCTGCCTTGTTTTGTCATTGCAGGGTCTCATAAGAATGGATGATCTGAGTCAACTGACATTTAAAATACTAATGAAGTTCACATACGGAAGAGACATGACTACAAACGAGCTTCAGGAGTTACTCGATCTCAGAGCTTTGGTGGAATCACTTATCGGAGATACTTTCTCAAACCCTTTTGTCAAGTTTCCGCTTTATAAATACATGCCTACAAGCACTAACAGCAAACTGGCACAATTTGAAAAGCGGTGGCTACAATTCAATAAGCGGTAAGAAGGGTTCATTTTACATTAGTTAACGCAAACAAGATAGTTATGTCGGAAGCAAAGGAAGAGTGAGAAGTCTACTTCTCCGTTTCCATTTTGATTTTTTAGGTAGTTTTTGTACTCTTTTTATGGCACGGCCTTGATCAATTCAACCAATAGGCAAGTGTTTTCGTTGTGAAAATTTTAATTTCTCTTTTCTACTTTTGTTTGTTCACTTAGCTTTGAGGAGCGTTTTGCCGAAGGAAAACTTCGAGACACAAGCTGTGTATTTTGCAAACTCTTGCAAAAAATCCGGGGGCACTGTCAGAAGATGAGGTAATGTTGGGGGTTTAGACGAAAAGTTTTGGGTTGGCTGGTTGACCATACCTATATGTATAATTAGTAAAACATTAAAGTGCAAGCCCAATCAAAATGCGAGCGGAATCCAGGATAACTTTGTATAATGTGTTGTCTTTTTCCAGCTGTTCCTATTCGTTAGTAGTTCTCAAGAACTTTTTAAAATACAAAATACGTGTAAATGATGGTTTGGTATTTCTTTAAATCCGCCATACATATTTGAACCAAAGAAGACCCTATGAGTGTATATAACGGTTGATCCGTTTTGTGAAAAATTGCTATACTTCTCTGCCTACACTATGAGCGCGTGTTTTTGGCCTTCCATAACCAGGATAGCCATGGGCCAACTTCTCACGATTTGTTTTTCCTTTGAGGGAGTCGCTTGATATTTAAATTTCTAAAGGTCACTGAGAATACTGAATTTTTATTTCAGTTTAGTTTGTTTTACCAAGAAATGTGAAACTCAACCTGACAACGCACTTTTAATAGAGGACCTTTTTGAATTAGTTTGGCCTTTTAGGATTTAACTGGGTAGCTAATAGACATGTTTCTTTTGAACTTTCTGAGTTGTAGACGTTTCACATCCAGCGATTCAAACACAATTCCTTTAGGGCGTTAGTTACATGTAAAAAGTAGCACTTCTTGCCGTGATTCAAATTTTACTAAAAGACTGTTTTTTGTGTCTAGTTTCAAGAAACCCTGGAGGAAGCTTCCCTTGCTAATGTAGACATCACATGCGGAGCTGTGGCCTGACTTCTATTCCATGTAGCACTCCATAAAGATGTACAGAAAAATCTTACAGTTGAAGTCAAGAATTTATTGCACCCGGAGTAAGTAAATATTTTAGCGAATACTTTTTCTTTTGTTGAAGCTGAGTGCAGTAAAAGAAATAGCGGAAAGTCTGAGGAGTTTGTTTATATGTTTGTTTGTTTGTCTTCGCCTCGATAAAGCCAATACTTTATATTTGAAAGACCCGAGGAGCCTTACGATGTATTGAAAACAGAGTTCCGATTCCGCTTAGCACTCCGTCGATTACGATTAATCGGAGAACGAGCTACAGTAACGTTAAAACTGAAGGTGTTTTAAAAAAGTGTCAGATATTTCGCGAATCTCTGCTCATTTTCTGACTGGCTTATAACTGATGGAAAAGCTTTCTTTGTCATTTTATAATTTCAGTTTAAATAAGAAGAACTTTTGCCCGTGAGCAGGCCTCCTCACGAATGATGAAGGAAGCTGTGAGCCTTTGGCTGATGCCACGTGATAATAAAATTCAGGACTAGAATTTTTTTCCGAGAATGTCCAAATGTCTCAACGTCTTGTTGTGTTTGTTTTCTTATTCAAGTTTATTATCTTTTCAGCTTTCAGAACCGTTAAGCTTAGAGACACTAACTAAACTGGATTTGCTGGGTAAGGTGGTAAAAGAATCAGCCAGGAAGAGGCCGGTAATGGTAATAAGCACTCCAGAATATGTGACTTGTCCAATGGTTATTGGGAATTTCCAAAGTCCCCCAGGGGTAGGTAGTGAGTAGCGTGCAAAAGCAGGGCTCCTGGTTATTAGGATATATTACGGCCTCCTGAAGCGCGTGAAGAGTCTCCCCGCTTGCTTTGGGTTTTAGAAAGCTGTTTTTAGGTTAGGTGTCATGTGACTTATCTTAGACATTCAAATAGGGAGCTTAAGGGCCTGTTTACATGAAGGTGGGGGAACCCAGGTAGGTGAGGTAACCCGTTTAGGTGAGGAAAAACAATAACCCTCCTTTACATGTAATCTTACAACCCCGCCATCCCGGGGTGCACTTTTTCAAGATTATTGAATGGTCCCTAAGCACGTAAACAAGAAAAATGCTGGCAAACCACGTGTTTTGGTGGTTAATACTCCTCTACACTCACATACTGCTCTTGCTGCAACCTTTAGTGCTGTGGCTTTCTTTTGTTGCCTTTAAGAATGATGCAAAGCCACCGCCAAAGTAAATTTTTGCGCGAATTTGACGTATCAAGAATCCGACCCCGGCTAGGCGGGTTACCCCGCCTTGAAAAGTTTACATGGCAAAATTTGATCCCTGCTAGGAGTGTTACCCGGTCTGGCAGACCGGGCTACCCGCCTTGAAGGGTCAACCCACCTAGCATGTAACCGTGATCAAATTAATAAAAGAGATTATATGGACAGGTGAGTTACCCCACATAAACCGGTTACCTCACCTACCTGGGGTCCCCCACCTCCATGTAAACAGGCCCTAAGCAACGACGACGGCGACGGCAACGAGAAAGGCAAACAAGCAAGAGGTTGAGTAGGCATAAAAACAACTTTACACGTACATCACGCCTTTTTGTACACTGCACGCTGACCACGACGTGAAAATGCCTAATTTCATGTTTTGTGGAGGACGCGAACATAAGACAACGACTTTCTTTACCTTTTCCTGAACTTTTATGCCATCTTTTAGAATTCAACTCCAGAATAGTTTGCCAGTATTTGATGAGTTGAGCGAGATGGAATAAGCGCGATTAACTTTAACGCAGCGCGAATTCACTTTTTAGTAACGTTTTCGAGCCGTCCCCTTCTTTGTTGCTTAAGCTCCCTAATATCATGATGCCGACCGTTTACTTGCTTGACCAACGCACGAGTGATTATGTAGACGATGAAAAATGGTCAAAGCCTAACATCTATCTTGATTATGCTCATAAATCCAGGAACAGATCGTTTGCACGTGACGTCGTGGCGGCCGTATTTGCGACTTTCACGTTGCCCATAATGCACTTTGTTTTCCCTACAACATTTTGCTTAAGTACTCTTTTCAATTACTCTTGGGATGGGACTGTTAATAATCTTCTCTTGACAAATTGAAAACAAAACTTCTGCCAAATTTTATGGGGACGTAAAAGTGGCAAGTTGTGTACAAAAACGATGAAACGGCGGCCATGTTGGTGTACCAACTCTTTTCTCATGTAAAAAATTTATTTTGTTCCGTGAAATTTGTATAGCCACTGATCACGAGTAAAAATGATGTATATCAAAAGGAACTATCTATACATACAGTCATTTTTATATTTCCTCCTACTGTACGTTTGTTTATTCAATTGCGCAACTCCTGTTTTTAAACTGAAGAAATCATGGTCAATCTCGTAGCCAGGGTCTTCTGGCTTTTTGACCTACGGGGCAAGACTCTGGATACCAGATTGATCCATGGTAGAAACATTATATCTGAAGATCATCATTGCCAAAAGTTAACAAGAGTTTTCGAGATGATGTAACTGTTTTCAGCTACTTTCTGTAAATGTTTAAATGTCAAACACTGTTCTCGTTTGTCTTTAGGTCGAAGTATCTGTTGACAACAGCGCAGTCAATAGCAACGCGGGAGTCTGGGGCGACACGGAAACTTTCAATCCCCGAAGATTTGATGACGAAACACCGAACATGCGCAAAAGCTTGTGTCGCTTCGGTATTGGACCGCGAAGGTGTATGGGATACCGGGTTGCTGACACCTTTATGAAAGTTTTACTGGTCACATTGCTGGAAAACTACTCCGTTGCCCTGGAGACGGACGTGACAGATGATGATGACAGTGTACCCGTTCAAAAGGTTGGGCCATTCTGCTTTCCGTGCGTGGACTTCAAAGTTCAAGTTGCGCAGAAAAATGTTACTTCTTAAAAGTTACAAACACGACGTTTATCGTTATCTGGAAAAAAATTTAACGTCAGAAATACTTCAGATAATTAATGGCGACATCAAAGAACACGACAGCAAGTAAACGTTGGTACTAGTAGTGAAATTTGGACAGTACGGGTCGGTTTTTCAGACGAATTCTAACTTAGACCGCGGTTTAGGAAATCTTTGGACCTCTAGGTCTCTTCCTTAGTTGTTTATGCAGAAGACAAACGCTTCCCTGGTCTACGCTATATGGTTTCATGAAACTGCTCACGGTAAATGGTGTGTTGATAGAAGCATTTAGCAAACTGAAAATGGCTTAGAACGCGGTTTTGTTAAACGGCTAAACTCCGTTTAAATAACTGGCCCTACGTGTTTTTTGAAGTCGCCATTCATTATCTGAAGGTATTTCTGACGTTACACGAGGATGTCTGTTAGGCACTAACTAGTCCCCGGCATTATGGCTCTTGCCACAATAAATCACACTTATTTTATGGTACCGTTGAGAATCGGCTTTAAATTAATTAATGATCAATATATAATAAAAAGACTCAACTTCCCAAATCATTTTGTCTTTGCGCAATTGTTAATCGAGTCAGACGCAATTGATATCGCTATATAAATGCATCCCTTAATTGAATAACAGATTCAGTGCATCGAAGTGCCAATTAAGTTTAATTTTAGAACATAGGATATAGGAGACGGATCTAGGGGCGTGAAACATAACTTTGAATAATATTACTTTCCGAATAGCCCTAGCAGTACAAACTCTCATGATCGGAAAAAGTATCCCCGCAAAGAAACATAGACTGACACTGNAATGCATCCCTTAATTGAATAACAGATTGATTCAGTGCATCGACTTGCCAATTAAATTTAAGTTTAGAATATAGGATATAGGAGACGGATCTAGGGGCGTGAAACATAACTTTGAATAATATTACTTTCCGAATAGCCCTAGCAGTACAAACTCTCATGATCGGAAAAAGTATCCCCGCAAAGAAACATAGACTGACACTGTTTGGTCCCCTATCATTCCGTTAGATCGTCGCGGTGGAGACCTCATTTTAACGACAGCGGCTATCTTGGTTAATTTTTCATTTAATACTTCGGAAACCAATCGCCCGTAATTTTTTTTGGAACGTACCATCACATATCACGTGACCTTTAATGATAAAATAAAACAGCAAAGTGAACAAGTGCTTATCACTGTCCTGGGGGGATACTCCCTTATATGAGCCATACAGGTATGTGACGCCCCAAAGGGTATGGTTTTTGCACCGTTTTGGTCTGAAAATGGGTATATGCTTTGGCCATTGTGGTCTGGAATCGGTTATGGTTTTTGAAGAAACTACAGGAGTGTATGAACGTAATTATCGTTTCAATTCCAAATGAATAAAAAAGAAAGAGAAATATGCGAATTCGAAGTGGATTTTAATTAACCTTTTTTGTCAGTGTTCTAATCTAAGTAACTGGGATGACATAATTTCTTAAAGGCTCGATCTGAAAACGGGTGTGAAAAGTGACATTTTCTAGTCTTAAATAGGGTCAGGATTGGAAAACCAGTCGGTACACCCCCACCAAGAATTCCAAGGAGTACTCCCCCGCCCCCCCCGGGATCACGGTCCTGAAGCTGAGGTAGGCACAGCTTACCTCAGGTTTGTAATAAAAGTAAAATTGAAAGAATGAATAAATGAATAAATAAATGAAGGAAGGAGGAAAGGAATGCATTAATGAATTAATTAATCTATTTATGACCTGTGATAAACGAATGAAGTCAATAAGAATAAATAAGAATTTGAGTTATAATCTCGAGAATATTATGGTTTTTGCTTCCTCTTTGTCTCTGTAGCATCAATATATAGGCGAATCTTTGCTGACGTCACTGTTTACAGTTTTCCTCGTTAGCATAAGACTTAACTCATAGAAGCCGTGGCCGTATATATGAACTAAATGGATAAGTTGAAAGAGCTGAGCAATTTGAGCAATTTGTGTAATTTTCAACTCTTTCCAAGCAACAAGAAAATATCAGCCATACATTCTCTGTAAAATTTCTAGTTTCAGTTTGAAGAGAATTTCTCCGAAACCATTCGGTGTACTGGGCTCAAATTTTCAGACATAACTGAAACTGTTATGCCCTTTCAATATTCAGAGTTTTCATTTTATTAGCGTCATCAGATAGTTATAAGCATATGTTAATGAGGCAAAAGTGCAAACAAAGATTCGCCTATAGAAAGGTTGTTCAAATTGTGAAGGGAAAAAAACGGTCTTTCGTGGAGAAAAACTCTAAAAATAGAGAAATAATATAGGCGCGGCGCTAACTGGGAGTGAGAAACAGGTCCCGGCCTTGGGCTTAAGTCTCAGATTAAAGAACATGAAAAGGAGTTGTGGAAACAAACGGGAAAACACTCGTCTATTTTTATTTATCCTTTATCCTACGATCCTAGAGCCTGCTTTCCTTTTGGTCAGCACCTCAGATGACACCTCCCCAATCCCCAATCTCCTCAGCTTCCGGCTCAGCTTTCAACTCAAAGATGGCGGCACATTCAAGAATTGGCTCTATCATAAAAGGACAATTTCAATGCAAGATGTTTCTTTTGATCCAGTGCGCAGCGATATACAGGTAAACCACGCTATAATAGTTTCAGAATATTAGTATCATTAAAAGACCTTAAAATCAGCTAATTGGTATGGATCAACTCTCACCTTGGCTGCTTTTTCAGGTGCGACTGATGGCCAGGGTTAGCAATAACCGAGGCGAATTTTTCAGTTTATG